ATAGCTTTTAATCTTTTATCAATCACAACCCCATCTTAGGTATTTTGATAAGTGCTTACATATACTCTTTCATTTAATCCTCATAGCCACTCTTTAGGTGCTGTTATCCTCATTTTACAAATGAGGAATCTGAGAATCGGGTTTAATAAATTGGTGCAAAGTCACATAGTTGGTGAGTGGGAGAGCTGAAAAGGGAACCAGGCCTGAACCAGAGTCTATCCTCTTAGCCACGCTCTGCTGCTCTGCAAAAGCAATGAATAAGGACAGACTCGCCCCCTTCCAGGGGTGCTACAAAAAGATTGTTGCTGATGGGGAGTTGTACTTTGCTGCCCTGGGAGGCCCCTTCCAACCCCAGCATTCTGTGGCCTTGGTTTTTCCCTCACTGTGGTGTATAGCCATCATGGGGCCCAGCCCCCAACGAGCCTTTCTCTGGCTGCCTATATGAATGAGGGGGCTGCTGGCTACCTGGCCTTGACTGTGCTCACATGTGCTGTTCACCTCCTGAGTACAATACAGCCTCCCTTCCCAGGCTCAGGGCCTGGCTTTGTCATCTCTCCTTTCCCCCAGCACCCAGCCTGGCTGCTTCCCGTGGTAGAGCTCTGTTCTGGCCGCTCTCGTATGGCTGGCCTCAAGTAGTATCTGATGCATGTTTCCTTCCAAAACCCCAGGATAGAATATGTAACCGTGACTCCAGAAGGATTCCGGTACCGGGGCCAAATCTTCCCAACTGTGAATGGACTTTTCAGATGGTTTAAGGATCATTACCAGGATCCTGTACCAGGTAAGTTCTCTTCTCTGTTTTCTGGGGTGTGGTTGGAAGGATATCTAGGGCCTTACTCAAGGTAATCACTGACTTTTTAGGGAAGGGGCTGAGGCCTACACTGTCAGTGCACTGCCCTGCTTCAGCCTCCTAGCTCCAGAGAGGTTCTTCATCTGCTTGGCCCTGCAGTTTCCTCACCCCCCTCCATCTGCTTCTCTACCTCTACCAGCTCTCTAAACTATGAAACCAGAAAGGTGTCTGGAAAAACATAACTAACCAGCCATTTCTTTCAGGCATCACCCCTAGTAGCAGCAGCAGGACTCGGACACCTGCCTCTATTAATGCTACCCCAGCCAACATCAACCTTGCAGGTAAGGAGCTTATGCTCAGAAATCGGGGGTGGGGAGCCAGTATGGAGCTAGAGGGACTTTCACCTCTAAAACTCTCTTCTTCCACCTCTATGTGTTTACAGATCTTACAAGGGCTGTGAATGCCCTGCCCCAGAACATGACCTCACAGATGTTCAGTGCCATTGCTGCTGTGACAGGCCAAGGACAGAACCCTAATGCCACCCCAGCCCAGTGGGCCTCCAGCCAGTATGGCTATGGCGGCAGTGGAGGGGGCAGCAGTGCTTACCATGTATGTGGCTTGGGGAGGAGGCTCCCTTCATGGGGTCGGGAGGAATAAAAGAGGATGGTCATCCTTTATCATCCATGTCCACAGACAGGCCCCTGGCAGTGCCTACCACGAGACGCTTCTTACATGCACATGGGTCTGCCACAGCCTTGGGTCTGTCTCCAACAGATGATCTTTTTCCTTAGACCCATTTTAGGGGAAAGGGAGCAAGAGAGGGCCTGGCCTTCCCACAGAGTCCTTTGAGATTTTTGGGACCCTCAAGCCCCTAGAAACCTTGGGTGGTCAGGACTTGGTCTCATCTTTGGGCCAGGTCCTACCCACCAGCCTCCTCTTAAAGGCCACATCTGCTGGCCTACCTCTGCTGTTCAGAACCACACGCTATCCAGAAGGTCAGCTGGAAAGCTCTGTGCTGATCCCAACTTTTCAGCTTGCTGGAAATTTCCAGCAAGGCCAAACAAGTCCAAACCTACCCTACTTAACTCTTCATCCTTTTGTAGGTGTTCCCAACGCCTGCCCAGCAGCCAGTGGCCACACCATTAATGACCCCCAGCTACTCCTACACAACCCCAAGCCAGCCCATCACCACACCACAGTACCACCAGCTACAGGCCAGCACTACCCCGCAGTCTGCCCAGGCCCAGCCCCAGCCCTCATCCAGCTCCCGGCAGCGGCAGCAACAGCCAAAGTAAGTATCCACAGGTTATTTATAGGGGAGCTATTGTCAGGAGCCCAAGGGGCTGAGAATAGGCAGGTGCTCTGGATCCTCTGAGAGCCTGTAACCTAGGCAATGTCCCAGGGAACTGGTTTCTGAGCTAAGAAAGAACAGGGTCAAGTGGCAGCGGGCCACTGCTACGTATGCTTTACCCCAGCAAAGGGGCTGCTGCTCGTAGGCGTTAGGTCCCTTTCTGTAAGGATAGGAGCTCACCAGTGATTGGTAGGAGGGTTTCCTCCTAGCAAGCCCCCTGGAGAGTCCTGATCTCAAAGGTTCTCTCTTCCCCTCCCTGCCCCAGGTCCAACAGCCATGCAGCCATCGACTGGGGAAAGATGGCGGAGCAGTGGCTACAGGAGAAAGAGGCAGAGCGGCGAAAACAGAAGCAACGGCTGACACCTCGGCCCTCCCCCAGCCCCATGATCGAAAGCACCCCCATGTCCATTGCTGGCGATGCCACCCCACTCTTGGACGAGATGGACCGGTAGGGGGCCTGCTTCTAGGACTTTGGTTACCTCTGAGGCTGGGAAAGGCCTGGCTGCCTGCTGCCTCGCTCCCTGCCCCTTCCTTTTCTGTCCATAAAGTGACGTGAAGTGACGTTCTCTTTGGTGGTCAGCCTGGATGGGTGACAGGCTGGATGGCCTTGCGAACTTGAGCTCAGTGTACACTAGGCAACATTTCTCTCAGTCCAGGCCCTCACTGACCACCTGTCCTGGGACCAGGCTGGGAGGGGAGTGTGGCTGGGAGGAGGAAGAGGAAGATGAGAATGAGAGTGGAACAGTTTTGTATTCTACTCCCTACAAGCCATTTTGAGCTGCGGCCCCCACCTGACTCTGGGGGCACCACGCTCAGCACATGAGTTTCCCCTAGCCCTTGTGTTGGGGGAGAGAGATGCTATTTATTCAGTTCGAGGCAGGAGGGAAAGTATTTCTGACCCTGATGGTAACAGCTCAGATGGCTATCAAAGCAGGAGCGCAGGGGACAGAGTGGAGCAGAGCTAACCTGCCCAGCCACTGCCTGGCTGCCCTTACCTACCTGCTGCCACGCTGCCGCTTCCTGCCCGTCATTTGAATAAACAGTGTTTCTACAGAGCACTTGCCGCAGCCTCTCTCCAACTCTTTGACTCTTTGAGGGGTGGCTTTCAAAGCACTGTTTGGACCTATGAGGACTCCACTGACTCCTGCTTCTGATCCAGGAGAGAGGCAGTGGTTCCTGGTCATTAAGAGAAGGGGCATAACACCAAGCAATCTGACCCAGAAGCCACCTTGCTAAGATCACATCCCTGCTCTACTTCCTAGTTCTGTGACCTTGTGCAGGCTACTTAGTGCCTCTAAATCTGCTGCCCTATCTGTAAGAGAAGATGAAAACTACCTCATCAGCTGCTGTGAAGCCTGACATATAGTGTATATGAATTGCTTAGCCTTGTGCCTGGTACATCAAACCAGACCCACTGCCATCAAGTCGATTACAACTCACAGCAACCCCCATAGGGTTTCCAAAGCCATAAATCTTTACAGAAGCAGACTGCCTCATCTTTCTCCTGCGGAGAAGCTGGTGAGTTTGAACCACTGATCTTTTTGGTTAGCAGCCCAGTGCCTTAAGCATAGTGTCACCAGAGTTCCTTGGTACATCTTGAAAGCCCTCAGTAAATGTAAGCTACAGTTATTACACTCATTCATTCAACAGCTGCCCCATCCTGTGTGCTTAGTGGTCTTCTTTGGCATAATGGGAAAGGCCACAAGTAAACCTGGGTTTCTTACCTCGAATACCTGCACCTTCCACTTTTTTCTTTTTTTCCACACCACCTGTGCCTTCATCTTTAACAATATCCCCAAGCAAGTCAGACGTTTTTGCCCCAGGATAGGCTTCCACGGCCCCGGCCCCTACCCTTGATATTCTCTCACTGGATATTGCAGGGGAAGCCAGTCCCTCCTAACTTATGACCAGCCAGCCTCCTGGCCCTGGTCCCTTCCCCCATCCCCACTGCCTCTTGTTCTGGTCTCCACTGGGATTCTTCACTGGGCTTTCAGCTCACAGCTTGATGAGTCAGTGCTGGGAAAGTAAGGCTTTGCTCTCCCTTTTCTCTGCTTGAGGCTCTGCAGAGACGTAGGAAAGGGCCCCTTGATGAGCTCTCTCCCCCCTTCATCATTCTCCTCCCTCTGCTTTTCTTTAAGATCTCTTCTGGGGTTTTCTTTGGAGGGGGAGGGAGGCAAGGGTGTGGAGAAGCTGGCTTTCTGCTGGGAGCTCAGTTCTCTCTTCAACACAAAAAGTCTGCAAGGGCCTACCTAGCTAGAGCAGGTCCATACCAGCTGGGAAGGTTATGTCCCCTGTGGTGCCATGAGTCCCCTGCTTCTGGAGCAGACGGAAGCTTAGTAGACCCCTATGTGGCCCTGGGGTCTGGAGCAGACGGAAGCTTAGTAGACCCCTATGGGGCCCTGGCCCATCTTCCCTAGGGCCACTCAGAGAAGGAAAGGGCACAAATAGTAACCCATTGGGTTAAAAGTTTCCTTTATTGTGGGTATCACTGTAGACAGTACTGCCTAACCCAGAAGCAGAATCACCACAGACCAGGCTCCCAGTAGAGGGAAAGCCTTCCTACCTACCCCAATCCACATGTACTCTTCTTAGTCTTAGGATAGTAAATAAAAACAGGGCTATGTCCTTCCCCTTCCTCCCAGTAGGATAGTAGGGGTCTCCCACCCAGCTTCCTGTGGATTTCTTCATTGAAAGTTGGATTGCCCTTCAGAAAGCCCTGCAGCCCCCAGCCTCCAATTATGCCCAGTGCCACCCCCCCCCCCCAGCCAGCAGTAGCCCGATAGGAGGGAGAGAGAACAGCAGCAGGGGGGTCAGCTATAGGCTTGACTGGATTTATTCTTCGCCCTGGTCACCCTGGCCTCAACTGAGATTGGGGTTTGATGTTGAGGGAGATTTCCTCTTGTTTACCTTCCTGCCTTTGGAGGGGAGGCCTTCCCCTTGGACTTCTTGTTTTGGCTCGTGTTCTTCTTCTTCCTGGGTGATAAAGATTCCACAATATCCTCACTGGAGGGTCCCTCTTCTCTGAGGTCTTTGTAGCTGTCCTCACTCTCCAGGTCTTCTCGACTCTCTGGGCTGGACTCTGACATCCTGGCCAGCTCTCTCGGGCTTACTGATCGGCCCACGTCTGGAGGTGAAGGTGATTTCATCGGACTTTTCTTCTTAGTCACTTTGCCCTTCTTGACTTTTTTCTTCAGCTTAGCCTTCTCCTTGTCTGATGAGTCCTCATCTTTCTCTTTGTCCTTTTTCTTTACCTTCTTGATCACCTTGCTGCCCTGACTTTTCCCTGTGGGGCTCTCGGAACGCCAGATGGTGATGGGAACTGCTGAGTCAGGGCTGCCAGTGGCCGTGCCAGTGCTTATGTCTGGGGGCTGGGTGATGGGCCCCACTTGGGTCGGGATGGGAGGCTTGCTTTCTTCCTCTTCTTCATTAAGGTCATCGTCCACAAATTCATGGTGGATGGGATGGTGGATCACTGCCACCGAGACAGGCCTGTTGTAGCTTTTGCACCTGTAGGGGGAAGATGACGGGAAGAGAGGGCTGGCAAGAGGTTGAGCAGTGCCTAGTAGAGCCGCCACCTGCCCTGTCAGCCTCCCAGCACTCACCAGCCATACCAAAACCGTTCCACACACTCGTCCTCTGGGATGAACTCATAGCAAGGAGTCGGGATGATCTTGAAGCAGGCTGGGCTCACGTCCCAGGAACAGGTTGGGCCCACATCTCGGGAGCTGCTGCTGTTTGCCTTTTCTGAGGATTCCTTCACCCTGACACACAAGACTCTCAGCTTGGCTGCCACGCCTTCAGGACTCCCCAAGGGCCCAGAGCTAGAAGCCTCAGGGACAGTGGGCTCCTCTGGGCTCTGCCTCAGCTGCCACAATACCTCCTCCCATTGTTCTTGGAGGTCAGGGTTGAAGGGGTTAATCACAGTTTAAGTTTAGGGCCTAGCTCTTCCTAGGCATCTCCATTGCACAGTAGATCCCCAAGGAGGGGGCTCTCACCTAGAGTCACAGTCACAGTAGCTGACAGCATGCAGGTGCAGCTTGTGGTGGGTATAGTCAGAGTTGAAGGGGTGGGTGATATGCCCAGCACACTGCTTGTGTTTCCAGCAGCACCCGTCAGTCTCCTTGAAGTCACCTGAGGAGCAGGGGCCTGGGTCACTCAGGGGCAGCAGCAGCTCCTGAGTCTGGAGTCTCCCCACTGACAGCTCACTCTGAAGCCCCTATGTGATCTTGGGCCTCACCAGATTCACCAGCTACCACCACCACCACCCTTGGACTATTTCTAGGGTCTTAGCTCAGCAGTAACTCCGGGTCCCAGCCCTCCCCTTCCCTAATCCACTACACACATCCCGTCCCCTGCAGGGACACACAATATATAGTAGGTCCTGTGACACCTTGCCCTTTTCCTTTCCCTACTTTTGGGAGCCTGCCCTCCACTGACTCCTGCCTGCCCACTCACCCAGCTACTTAGTCTTGGGCTACCCCACTTGACAAGGTGCCTGGGTAAGGGAAGACCCTCTTGCAGTGGCAGACGGTAGCGCCTCAGGAGTCCCACTTGTAATCCCCTGTGATTGGGGCGAGCAGCGGCAGCAGCACCCTCACTTCCACTGCACAGGCCCGACAAGCCCAAGCCCAACTCCCCACAGCCTCTGAAACCCCTCTGGCCACAAGGCCTGCTGTAGTGCTCTCACGGGCAGCTGAGGCCTGAGCCACCCCTACATCCTGCTGCTTGGCTGTGGCAGCCCCCTTCTCCTTCACGTTACTGCTGCTTGATTCCTCACTCCTCCAAACCCTTCTGACACCTTTACTCTTCCCTCTCCTTCCCATTGCCCACCCACCCTGTTCTTTCCCCCGAGCTCCCGTTCCTCATCTTCCATCATCAGACCCTAGAGTCACAGACTTGAACAACCCACCACCCAGCTTTCCACCCTCTTTCCACATGATACCTCTTCCCAGGCCTCAAAGATACCACATCTCCTTTCCCAAGGCCCAGAATAGAAGCTGCCAGGTGGGAGTTTGGGGTTAGGTAAAAGTCCTGGAGAAGGGGATCACACCTGTTTTGCTCAGCTGGTTGAACCCACTTCACTTTCCTACCCTCCACTCCCACTGCCTCACCTCTGACCCTGCCTAAGGCTGTAGTCTACTCTTGGCACTACCTCTCAGGCCACCCCCCCCAGAGATAAGCCTATGCATGAGGTGACTCCATATGTCCTTCACAGCCCAAGAGCCCAAGGTCTCACACACCAGGCAGAGGACAAGGTGTCCAGTATACCTCCTTAGGCAGCCCTACTGCCAGTTCCCCTGACACCAGCTCTACCACACCTCCAGAGGAAGAAGGGTGGCATTGATGAGTTGCCGTGACAGCCTGGCATGGGGTCCTGTGGCAAGTGACTGTACCTCTATTTAGCCCTCAAGAGAGGTGGAACTGAATGAGACCTCACACTGGCCACCAGTCAGGAATTCATTCATTCAGGCTGTGGGTATGTTAGGAGCCCTGGCAGTGCAGTGGTTAAGAGCTCAGCTGCTAACTGAAAAGTCAGGAGTTCAAACCCACCAGCCACTCTCCAAGTAAAAGCTGTAGCAATCTGTTTCTGTAAAGATTTCAGCATTGGAAACCCTATGGAACAAGTTCCACTGTGCCTTAATGGGTCATTATGAGTTGGAATAGACTCAGTGGCAATGGGTTTGGTTTTAGGGTGTGAGTGTGTTAGAGTGGCGTTGAGAAATGAGAACACTGCCACCTGGTCTGAACCTTGCTTCACATCCCTCATCCCCTGCCCCAGCCAGGCTGTGAGGGTCCTGGGTCCCTGCCACTCCTGGCCCCCTTGATGACCTCCTCTGCTGCTTCCTTTCCTCCTGTACCCTTGCTCTACCCTAGAGAAAATAAAGAAGGGACACAGGCCTGGCTGGAATGTCACCACCTTGGGTTTGCTCAGTGCTGCTGAATTTGGGCAAAGGGCAACATATGACAAGTACCCCAAACTTGTAGTCAGACACACCTGCGCTCTAGTCCTGGCTCTGCCACCTACTAGCCAGGTGACCCAGGGCAAATTAGTTAACTTTTCTTGAGTCTCCATTTCCTTATCTACAAAATGGAGATGGCGGTAATCGCCCTGTTGCAGGGTTGCTGGGAGGACTCGGTCCATGCGTGTGAAAGGTGTGTGTGCACTCTAAAGTGCTATAAAAAAGAAAGGAGTGATTGTGGCCTCCAGGAGGGGGTCTGGCTTCAGAAGGGAAGAAGTATGGAGGCTGGGTAAGCTTATCAAGTCCAAACACTTCCCTCCCGCCTGCCTCATCACCAGATCTCCACTTTCCAAAGTGAGGGGTGGAGGGGACCCCAGGGCCAGGGATCCCCTAGACCCACCTTCAGAGGAGAAAGTAGATGTGTCGGTGCTGGATGCCACGCCAGCCAGCAGATGTCCTCTCCCCCAGCTGGGCAACCTGTTTATATCTGAGAGAGTACAGAGTAGCAGCAGCCCCCTCCCCACTGTCATTCATTCCCCCAACATTTCCTGAGATGCAAGATGCTCTAGGTATTAGGCCCCCAGCTGCATCCTAGGGATGCAGATATTTAAAACAAACAAAAAATGTCCCTGCCCTCAAGAGGCCGGGGTGTGTGTGTATTGGGGGAGAGACACATGAGCGGTACATGAATAGATAATGACAATAATGTGATGGAAATGATAGGGAGATTGTGGGGAGTAAGGTCTCTGTAAGCATAGAACAAAGGTCCTGCTGAGAGCAGGAAGGGGGAAAGAGGATTCTGGAAGATTTCTTGGAAGAACCATCATTGGAGCTGGGTCTGGAGTAGTGAATAGAATTAAGCCAGGGACTAGGCAAGCAGGGACAGTTCCAGAGACACTCCCAGAGTGTATGGAATCTAGTCAGAAGATGTCCCCAAGCAAGCAGACCTCCACCTGGCACAGCAGCCTCCCCAGCCATCAGAAACCACAGAACAGAGCCTGCCATTTTCCCTTTCCTTCCCACAATTAGCCTTGTCCTTCAGGGCATCAGAGTGGGACTATTGCTTAAGGAAGGTGAGCTGTTCCTTTGGACTTGAGCCAGGCACTTGTTCATCCTTCTACAGGTCCTCCATCAGCTCCTTCTGTTTCCCACAGCACATAAGTGTTCAATATTTATTAAAGGAGTAAATTAACGAAACCTCACGCACATCCCTCGCAACTCCTACCCTACTACTGTTCCTCTCAGCAGGTAATTTCACCACCACTATCTGGCTGCTCCCACCCTCACCAACACTTCTCCAGCCTTGGGAAGAGACATCCTTTCTTTCTGCTGCTCCAAGCAAAAAGTTCTAGGCCCCAGTCAGTATTATCACCTTCTCTTTCTTTACTGGCTCTTTCGCACAAACTATGAAGATCTATAGACAAACAATACTCTATCAATGCTATTTCTTCCTCTACTCCTGCATATTCCTTTTCAGCCCAAGTTTATTGATTCAGTATATACTGGATAGCTTCACTAGCCACAGAGAAGGTGGTCAGTCACTACCTTCAGTAACATCAGCATCTTCAGCTCTTCCACTCCAGCCATGTGCAACACAGTAACCATTTAAGAGAGACCAACAATGATTTCCAAATAGTGAAACCCAGTGACCACCTTTCTGTCTCGTCTCACTTGATTGTGATGACCAATCAGTCGCTTCAAACTATTCCTTTGACTACCATAAAGAACCTCTCTCATCTTTCTCTTCTTTCTCTGACTCATTCTTTCTTGCCTCCTTTGCCATTTCCTCTTCCTCTGCTGTACCCCATAAGTATTGGTCATCAGGGTTCTGGCCTCGATCCCTTTCTCAGGAGACTACAAGCTTGTTCTGGATAGTGTTGTCCACTTTCATGGTTTCAGTAGCCATCAGTAAAATGCCATAATCTGAGTCTCCAACCTAGATTGCTTTATGGGCATATAGCCATTATCCTCTTGGATGTCCCCACAACATCTTAACTTCAGCATGTCCTACACAAACCTACCATCTTCTCCCTACCCCCCAAACCTTCTCCTGCACTCTCCATTTCAGAGAACAGACACTTAAGCTATAAACCTAGGGATCATCCAACTTGGTAAGCACTTCTTGCCATGTATATCTCCCCCACATATCTCTTGAATTGATCTGTACTACCTCTGTTTTGAGGAGCTCTGGTGGTGTAGTGCCTAAGGCATTTGACTGCTAACCAGAAGGCTGGCGGTTCAAACCCACCAGCTACTCCTCAGAAGGAAGGTTGGGCAACCTACTTCCATAGTGATACCACCTCAGAAACCCAAGGCGGGGTCGCTGAGTCAGGTCTGATTCGACGGCAGTATGTCTGGTGTGTGTTTTTTTGTTTTTGTTTTTGTACTTCCGTTTTGATTCAGACCATAATCATCTCTGACTTAGAAAGCAGCAGTGGTCTCTTGCCTGGTCTCCCTGCCTCCTGTCTCATTACCTGTTGCCATCAAGTCAATTCTGGCTCATGGCAATCCTATAGAACAGAGTAGCACTGCCCTATAAGGTTCCTAATGTTATAATCTTTACAGAAACAGATTGCCACCTATTTCTGTCATGGAGCTGCTGGTGGGTTGGAACTGTCAACCTTTCAGTTAGCAGTGGAGCACTTAACCACTACACCACCAGGACTCCTTCCTGTCTCATTACTCTTATCCATTCCTAACAATGGATGAATTTTCTAAAATACCAATTGGACCACCGTGTTTCTCCTCTTGATACCATCCCACTGCCTTCAGGATCAATTAACAAACCTTAATCATGACATTACAGGCCTTCCAGGACCCAGACCTGGTTCCCTCCTCAGTATCTGTTTCTCTCACCTATCCATACCTTCTGTCACCCTTCATTCCTCCAGTCCACTCTCCTGCCTCCCGCTCCTCAGAAATACCTATTCGTCTGAAGAACAACTGTACCCAGGTAGAACTGGCCATGTACCCTTGTGCCCATTTACTCTGCCATAGTACCTGGAACCTGTGACATTCATGAATTTACTCTGTAGCTCTGCTTCAGAGCAGGGGTCATGTTTCATATGCTTCTCTGGCTGGAACATAGAAGGAGCTCAGTAAATGTTCATTGAAATGAATGAATGAATGAATGAGCCCCCTACTGGAGCCAGAAAGAAGCTGTGATACTGCAGACTGCCTAAGGTTCAAGCGTGGGAGCTATCCTAGGGAAAGAGAACTGACAAGGCTGAGCACTTTCTCAAGGCCAGGCACTCATTTTACAATATGCCTTTATTCTAAATCCTCACCCCAGACCATTCTATGATGGGGACTCACAGACGCAGGACAACTAGCTTGTCAAAGTAGATAGCAGAGGTCATATTCAAGCCCAGGTCTTCCTGGCTCCACAACCTATGCTCTTTTAAGTTCTACTTAGGGTTGACTGAGATGATATATATGTAAACAAAAGATTTACACATCATGAGCGCCACAGCCAGGTCTTAAGCCAACATTCATTCAGCTCACTATCCAAAATCTCCTGTCTTCTCAGCTGTCACCCTCCAGTGCTTTTCAACTCCAAAACCAAAAAAAAAAAAAAAACCTCACTGCCATCAAGTTGGATCCAACTCATAGCGACCCCTCCTTGGGTTTCCAAGGCAGTATCACTACAGAACTGAGCTCTGGTAGCATAGTGCCTAAGGCACTTGACTGCTAACCAGAAGGCTGCTGGTTCAAGACCCACCAGCCACTCCTCAGAAGGAAGGTGTGGCAATCTACTTTTTTAGTGATACCCCCTCCAGAAGGAGGGTTCACTATGAGTCGGGTCTGACTTGAGGGCACATAACAACAACAACAACAAATCACTACGGAAGAAGATTGCCCAACCTTCCTTCCAAGGAGTGGCTGGTGGGCTTGAACAGTCAAATGCCTTAGGTACTACACCACCAGAGCTCCCAGACACCACCAACTCCTCACCCTTTGGTTTTACTCAATCCTGGCTCCATGGCCTCCTTTATTTATATTGGACCCTTGGGTCAGGTCAGAGAGGACTAGCCAGGGTCAGGATTCAGACTGCTGTGTCTCACTCCACTTGCTCTCTCCAGAGTCACTATGAAACAGGCCCATATCCAGGGTCATAGCCATTTTATTTTTCACTCCCTCTCTGCCACAAGCCCTGACAACCATCAGCTCAGTTTGTGAAGGGAAGGAGGGGAAGACAAAGAGGAAGAGACTCAGTTACTTTCCTCAGACCTAAGGAAGGCAATCTGCTCTGTAGTTCAGAGAGCAAAGAGACAGAGATTGGACACAGGAGGGACTTCATAATGAGGGAGGAGGGTGATCTCTTTCTCGGTAACAGACGCAGAAGCCTAACTTTAGAACTCACAAGTGATGCTCATTTGCACAGAATCCTCCCCGTCCCGCGGGCGGAGAAGCTCCCCTAGCCCACGTACCCCAAGGGCAAGGGTTCTAGGTTTAGGTACCAGAACAGCCGAACTGGAGAAGGGAAGAAGGAAACGAGGGAGGGAACAAGGAAGAAAGGAAGGAAAGGGAAGTAGTAAGGGACAGGCAGAGTGCACGCGTCTCCTAGGAAATACCACTCTGGCCCCGCCCCTATCTGGAGGCAATTGTGATGTCACGCATGGAATCTCCAGATTCTTTACCGTACACGGGGGCAGTGGAGCTCCCCCTCCCCCAACCCCGGCGGATGGTTGGGCGCTGGGCCTTGGCCTGGTCTTGCGCTTCTTGGGAGGCGGCCCAGGGTCCGGGCTACCGCCCAGCAGTGCCGTCTAGTCCTACAGCCAGGAGTTGCTGCTCCGGTCCTGCCGCACGGTCCCAGCCGAAGTGGTAGGAGATCCTCCCAGGTCTCAGGAACCCAGTGCTCAATCATTGGTCCTCGGCTAGACGTGAGCCCGCCCCCTGGCCCTAACTCCGCCCCAGCCCAGACCTTGGCCCCACCTCCTCTCCCAGGAGCCCAGTCTCCAGTTCCACACCCTTCCTGAGTCTTCGAGCCAGTCTACAAGCCACACCCCTGGCCCGAAGCCCACCCTCAATCTTCTGCCCCGCCCCCTCCTTACCCCCGCTCCTGCTCTCATTCCAGATGTTGGTCTTGCGCCCAGGTCTTTCCCTAGTCCATCTTTCAATCGTCAGTGTCGTCCTGACCCACATCCCTCTCAGCCCAGTTCTTTATCTCTATGGGACTCCCTGCAGCTCAGCTAGGCCAAGCCCTCAACCCAACCGTAAACCCCAATCTCAGATTGGCCTAAATCCCCCTAACTCCGCCTCATGCTTGCCCAGCCCCTCTCCTACCTCCACCAGCTCTGAACTTCGCTGTCTTCCCAACCCAATTCTGACCTTCAGCTTCGTTCTTCATCCGGGACCTCCCGCCTCCTCCCAGGCCCCTCCTTTAACCCTAGCACCTCCCCTTTTTTCTCTGGGGCCAAAACCTTAGCTCGGCCGCTCAGGCCCAGCACTCAATCCCATCCCTAGTTCCTCTCCAGATCTACTCCCACCTTAGTCCGACCCCCGGACCTTAGCCCCACCCTGGCCCCGCCCCCACTCTGTCCTTAGCCCCGCCCCAGTCATGCTCACAGCCTCAGACTCCGACTCGCCTCCCTGCCCCTCCAAACCTAGCTCTGGCGTAATCCCGCCTACAGCCGGCCGCGAAAGCGACCACCACCGCCCGCCCTACCGCCTCTTCACTATCCCGAGATCCTTCCTTCTCAGGCATGAGCATTCCCTTTCTCCAGTACAGGCCTCCTCCCCAGAAGCCTATTGTCGAACTCTCGGATGAGGTCGTGGTGTCGGCTTCCAGCCCGTCTTGTAGCAGCCCAGGTCCGGCCACCAGGAGCTACCGCCCCTGCGTTCTAGGGTTGGCTCTCCAAGACGTCCCGGATGAAAACCAGGTCACACGTGTCCCTCCTTTGTTGGCCGAGATGCCTGAGGTACTTCTGGTTAGTTTATGGCTCTGAGTCAGACATCAACACTTTTCCCCAAAATGGTTTTTCTATCAATGAAGATTTTTGAACTCTATGTGTTAATGCACATTTCTCTTATTTCATTTATTTAAAAAAAAAAAGAAAAAAACACCTCACTGTCCACCAGTCGAATCCGACTCAGCGACCCCTCCGTGGATTTCGGAGGCAGTGTCACTACGGAAGTAGGTTGCCCAACCTTCCTTCCAAGGAGTGGCTGGTGGGTTTAAACCCAGCCTTTTGGTTAGCAGTCAAATGCTTTAGGCACTATGACACCAGAGCTCCTATTTCATCTATACAATCCCACAAATTCAGCATTATCAGCCCCATTTTACAGATGAGGAAGCTGAGGCACAGAGGTAAGTGATTTGCTTGAGTTTTCGAGAGTGGACATGAAGATTAAAATGCAGGTCGTCCTGACTCAGACCACATCTTCTGAATAAGGAACCAGGTTTCCCTTTCTTACGGCTAGACTAAGGTCAACTCAAAACTCAATCATTTCCCAGAATTATATTCGGAGAAATGTTTTTAAGAGAGAAGGCAGGAAGAGATTTTAAAAAAGTTTCTACTAGAAGAAATTTGGGTATAACAAAAGCACCAAGTATGTGGACATATATGGGGGAAGGGACCCTAAGAAAGGCTTCCTAAAGCCAGCCATTTAGATCTCACCCGGTGAGGGCCACTGACCCTCAAAGCCTGGTCCCAGCCTCTCAGCTCAACCCAAGAACTAGAGATAGAATCCCAGCAGGAGGCATCAGTCCCCAAAATGGCCACAACAGCCTGACCCATTCCATATTCCTCCTCCCTGACAAAGGACTCCAGTCCCAAAAGCACTAATAACTCAGAGATTTTAATGTATAAGGCACATGTGAGCTGGTATAGGCTCCTCTTTGGGCTCCTCATGCCCAAAGAGCCCAGCAGGCTGAGCAAAACAGCAGAGATCACCTGCTGGGTATCCTAGAGAGCCCTTGGAGATAAGTTGGGGCATCCAGTCTTTGGCATGGTGCCTGGAGGCAGGAAGTAACTAACATGGTCCCAGCTTCCCCTCTCGGGGTACTGCCACCAAGGGGCAGCTCTTTGGTCTAAAAAAACCAGTCAGTGCAAATGTCCAGGGGTCAAGGTCTGAAGGAGTCAGGGTGGCATAGTTTCCCAGGGCTGGGCAGTTTCTGGAAGTGAGACCCCTCACTCCTCATGGGCAACATGTGGGCTTCTTCTTGTTGGCAGTTAGGTAGAGATTGTTGTCATCACTCTTGATGCCTGAAGAAGGGTGGCAAATATGTGAATCAGGAATTGGAATCCCTTTTACTCTCTGCCACCCTCATCCAGGTGGGCACTCACGGACAACATCCCCAATGCGCCGGGCCCCTGATTTCTCCAGCTCAGCCAGCACGTTGGCCTCGAAGGTCAGTGCTGCCACCCGGAAAAAGAATTCCCGGACATTCTCACCTGGACACAGGGAGAAGATGGGGCACTCAGGGGCAGTGTCAGGCCCAGTGGGGCACTGGGCACAGTTTAGAGGTAAAATGAGAAGGAAAGGTAGGCAGGGAATGGAGCAGCAGAGGACCTGAAGCCTCTGACTCACCGGTGAGAGATGAGACTGCCCAGTACTCAGCCTTCATCTCTTGGGCCACCTTGAGTGCATCCTTCTCCATCAGCACATACTGAGCAGGAGTCTGAGGGGAGGTCAGAGTCAGATGGGGGAAGGAGGGTTTCCTCACCACATTCAGCAGTCTCCTCACTGGCACACTCACACTCAGATCCTTCTTGGAACCCACGAGGAAGAGAAGCACGCCAGAAGGATCGTTCTCCTTGAGTGCATCAGCTAGCCACTGCCTAGAAGGGCAGGGGGAAGTGAGCCTGATCAGCTCTTCTCCCTGATGCTAATATGCCCAATTACCCATTCTCTGGTCCTAGATGATTCTTCTTCCTACCATGCCCTTTTCTAAACCCTCTCTTCTGAGCGCCACCCCCTCCCATTTATATTTCAGCATGCCCACATACTTGGTATGTTCCAAGGAAGCCACATCATTCAGGTTGAAGACAATGATGATGGCTATAAGAATAGCAGAAACAGCAGCAGTTAGTTGATTGGGAGGATACTAGTGACTCATTTCCCAACTCCTCCAGTTGTAGATTAGAGGCCAGGTGCATTCTCAGGCCTACCTACCCCACCTCACCCAGCATCTTACCTTGAGCTCCTCGGTAGTAGGTGGATGCAATGCATTTGAACCTCTCCTGTCCAGCAGTATCCCAGCTGGGAAGGAAGAGGGGTGAATGACAGATATATGGAACGGGATGAGGGGTGGGTGCTGAGGGAGGGGAAAACTCAAAGACATGGAGGAAACACTCACAGCTGCAGACTGAAGGGGACGCCCAACACCTCAAATCGTTCCATCTCAAAGTCTACTCCAATGGTGGCCTTATAATTCTTATCAAAGGTGTCTTTGCAGAACCTGAGGGGACAGCAGATACTCTGGCCTTTAGCCCAGCCCACCCTACATAGCCCAGCCCAACTCCAGCACCCCCTTACCTATTAATGAGGCAAGTCTTCCCCACTGACAGGTCCCCTACGACAATGACTTTGGAGATCTTAAATCTGCTAGACATAAGAATAGTCAGGGAAAGTAAGTACCCGTCCCTTCACCCTAGGGAATTTCAATGCCCCCTATAAGGTTCAGAAAGAGCTGTACCCAGGCTGTTATCACAGACACCAAGCCTCCCAGGCAGCTGCATGAATGACAAGCTGAGGAAGAAGGAGTATTTTGTGCTTCAACATCCGAGAGACATCAGTTTGAATCCTAGCCCTCATACTTATTGGCTGTGCCCCTCTGAATCTCAGTTTCAACATTTATTAATGAAGATACAGGATATATTTTATTGGGTTGTTGTAAAGGTTAAAATGAGATCCAGTTGCTGATGAGTCAATTCCAAGTCATGGCAACCTCATGTATATCAGAGTAGAACTGTGCTCCATAGAGTTTTCAGTGGCTGAATTTTTGGAAACAGATCACCAGGCCTTTCTTCTGAAGCATCTTTGAGTGAACTTAAACCTCTAAACTTTAGGTTAGAACCCGAGTGTGTTAACACTTTGTATCACCAAAAAAAAAAAAAAAAAACCCACTGCTGAGTCTATTCAGACTCAAGCCACTGTATAGGACAGGGTTGAATTGCCCCATAGGCTTTCCAAAGCTGTAAATCTTTATGGAAGCAGACTGTCAAACTGCCTCATCTTTCTCCTGCTGATGGGTTCAAATCACTGACCTTTTGGTTAGCACTGCACCACCAGAGTTCCTCTTTTTATATCACCTACGGACTCCTAAAATGAGATGCTCTATATTCTATTCGTTTTCCCTCTGTATTTTAACATCTCTGTTAAATATCTTAAAAGTAATGGTGTTTTCCATTAGATAAAACACAGAAATAGGTCCAACACACTGCCTGGCACACAGTAAGTGCTCAATTAATGGTACCAACTGTTAGTAGTATTGTTTAAAAAAAAAAACCACCACAGTAGGACTCATCCCTGTAGGAACAGCCCCCTGTCCTGGGTCTAAGGGATGTTGTGTAGGGAACTGAGAATGTTGGGCACCTTCTCTGTGTCAGGCCATCTGCCACCTTTCTGCCCCAACCCATCTCATAGGATTCTCACAACAACCCTGTTAGGAAGAAGGTGGTGAACACGGGCTTAAAAAGGGGGAATAACCATACAGCTGGCAAGGGCTGAAATAGAGTCCCAAGGGGGTGATTATATACCCTTATATGCCAAAAAAACTAGAGTTTCTTGGAACTACCTTTTTTTGTTATGGGGTCCCCAACTCACCCCACGGTGCCGGTCCGGTGCTCCTGGCAGGCGCAGGTGACCCGGGGTTGGAAGTCTTTGTGAACGTGCAAAGCAGCCTCCTTCCTCAAGCACTGAGAGAGAAGAGCGGCAGAGAACGGGGCTCACCCATTCCTCGCCCTAGTCTAGCAGCCAAATAGCTGGCGGGGGCGGGGGGGGGACCGGACCACCCAGAAGCAGCAGGCCTAAACAGGCAGCAGGGCTTGGCCCAATCTTCTAACAACCGGTTTGGTGCCACCTCTTCCCCGCCCACTCCTGAGCCGCAGACTAGGGCCCGACGTGGCCCTGGAGCCTACCTGGGGCAGCTCGGCCAGGACGCGGTCCCTTCGCACTGGTGCCAGGATGTTCATCTTGTCCGGGGCCTTGCGGGGCGCCCTGAGAAGGCGCGGCGGCCTGATCCGTCCCGGTTACCCGGGCCCTTGGAGACCCAACAATCACCCGCGGCCTGGTTGTCCCGACTATAACTCGGGGCCACGGGGATCCTACGGGAGCCCGCGGCCTCGGAGACTCTACGACCACTGCCGGCCACGAGGATGAGACAATCACCCGAGGCCGAGGCGAACCCACAATCACCCGGGACCGGGGTGCCCCGAAGACGACTCGGGGGCGAGGAGACCCCTCAGTCGCCAAAAGGGTGCGGGAAGTCCTGTCCGGGGAGGCCTGGGTCCCCGCAGACCCTACAATAACGCGGGGCCGGATAGTCCCTACAATAATCCGGGGGCGCGGAGACCCGACGACAACACGGGACTGAGGCGGCCCTACCATAACAGGAGGCCCCGGGGCGCAGAGCGTCCCCGCCACACGGGGTCACTGTAGAGAAGGGTAGCGCAGCCAAAGCCCGCGGGCCGCTAAACAAGGGCGCCTGAAGCCCGGTCCGCTGCACCGCTACGCGTTTCACTCCGCTAGCCCTCTACGGGTGCTGTAACTTGATCCCCGGAAATTCCTGGAGAAGGGCTGCCCCCCGCCCCTCTCCCGGCAGCCCCAGGCCTCGCAGCCCGCCCCGACCTCCTCCCTCTGGTCCTCCTGGTTGCGCTGCCCGAGCTCAGGCTCCTCCGCCAGACGCCTCACCGAATACCAAGACCCGCCCCCACTGAGGCTTGAGCCTGTTGAAATCCGTAGCCCCCAGCCGCTCTCCCCTGCACCCCTGTGCTAGGCTGTGCATCCTGCGGGGACCCTTACCCAGCTGAGTTGGTGATGGGGAATCAGTGGTTGCTGCGCAGCGTCTGACAAGGCCAGGAGCCGGCGGGGAGAGGCAAGGGGGAGAGAAGAGGCCCAAGGAGAGGCGGCGCTTCGCTCAGCGACTCCAGACCCAGGACGTGACTCATAGAGTCTGCCCCTGCTCGCCCTTCTGTCCGGGTTGGGGGGTTGCAGAGGGAGGCGGAGAAGCACGTAAAGGGGGTACCAGGGTCAGAACTGGATGCCCACGGACGAGGGAGACTTCTGAAGCCTGGAGTCTTCTCTTCCAAGGCTGCTGTAGACTGGGTTGGTGAAACACAAACTGTCCCTTCTAGGGAGGATAAAAAAGGGCCAAGTGGACCGGAACTTGCCCTTTGGGAAAGTCACTGCTCTGGGACGTAGGGGGTCCCTCCTTTAGTATAGACTTTCATTGCTCGAAGCCCTTTGGAATCTTTCCCTGCCTGCCCCCTCCCTCCTCCAAGGACAACTTGTCTTTTTTGTAAAGTCTTTTAGGAGCACTCCTGGCGTAGTGCCTAAGGCATTTGACTGCCTTTGGGTTTTTGTTGTTGTTTTTCTTGGACTTTGGTCAAAGGGGAAATCTGGGCCCAGGAGGCAAAAAAAAAAAAA